ACCCTTGCTTGGTGTTCACTTCGGACAATGTGCACCAAACTGAACCTCAGGATGAAGAAAAATTTCTATTAACTATTTCAAGTCGTTCTCTTGGTGCACCAATGTTAGTCCAATGCAAGTGTATTATGATGTAAGTAGGCAGCTACAAATGATCGCTTTTTAAGAATTTTGAAAGATAATGGAAGGGTAATTAGCAATTATTATAGGACAACTACTTTTCAATCAATTTTGATGCAGCAAGCAATTACAATACGCTCGTTTAGTTATTACTGCACTCTCCTAATTACTTTTTAAGATAATTAAACTTGAATGGCAGTTTAGAAAAACTGATCTTTTATTGTGCAAATGGATTTTAAACTGAATTTCGGAAATCTGGAGAACAAAGTACAAATAGATTGGATTTGAGTCCACATTGAAACTTGGAACTTTTGGAAGTGACGCTACCACCTAATCAATTGGTGTTGAGTCACGTGATTAAAACAACACAAATTGTTCCAAGCATAGGTATAAATACCAATTTCCACTCATTCCAACTTCCAAAAATTTAGTTCAAAAACTAAATTGTTATGAACACTACCTATTATCTGGGTCACAAAGAATAAATCTTAGTAATGGCGTATTTACTTGAAGTGCAATTTCTAGATTTTTACTTCATTCCAATAAAGCAATATCGAGATTGGAGTATTTTTAGGCGACAAACAAATATTTAATTCAATACCTTGTTTCTAATGCGAAAGGGATTTAGTGACTATAGGAATGTGAGAATTATTGAAAAATTATGTGGATCCAAACAAAAACGGCTGATTGATGGATGCCACAACTTAAGCACCAATAAGAACTTGGTTCGGTCGCACACACACCGCACACAGGAGAGATAGAAAACTAGCTTTAAAAATTTCAGGCCATTGTATGATCACCTTATTGTCTGCTACCCTTGAAAACCGCAATTGTGATTGGTTAAGCCCCAGAATATACCACTGTTTATCTGGAATGCACTCTTAATTGATGAAACAAGTCAAGCTATGCAATTGCTACTTCTCATCGTTCTCCTCTTCATTTTTAACTTTAATTCTCTCGCTCAACTGCCTGAAGTGCATTTAGACGAAAATGCCCAGTTTGTCGATTCTCAAGGCCGAGTATTGATGTTTCATGGAATTAACTCGGTGTACAAGAAACCACCATACTATGATGCGGATGATGTTTCAGATAAGAGACTGGATTTATTTCGTAAATGGGGTTTCAATGTTGTTCGACTAGGAGTTCTTTGGCATCCGGCATATCCTGAAGGACCTGATCGATTAAATGAATCATACTTTGAAGCCATTGAAATGCAGGTTGATAAATTTGCCAAAGCTGGAATTTATGTCATTCTCGATATGCACCAGGACTCCTTGTCTTCAATGTTCGGTTCGTATGATGCAATTCCTCTTTGGCTGTTGAAGCGTTTCTCCAAACCCCCGTTTATATTCAAGTACCCTTGGCCTATGAGAAGCACCCCATCTGGCGACTGGGAGGGGTATACCACTTATGCGTGTCAAAAGGCATTTCAGGATATTTATGACAATGAGAAACTCGCCTGGAATTATTGGGGTGACTTTTGGGAAGAGGTGGCCAAAAGATTCAAGAATAAAACCAATGTTCTCGGATATGAGCTCATAAATGAACCATTTGCTGGGAATGTCTACACTAACCCTCTACGAGCCATCCCAGGTAATTCAATTACTGACTAATTGCGAGCAATACATTCAATCAATACATTGAAAATACGTGGAAGATTGCCCAACTAATAGTAATAAGTTTTCGAAAATAACTGAAGTAATGCATATAATACAGGAAAGTCACTTACCTCAATTAAGCTGAATTCGAAATATATTCCATAGGTGAATAAAGGAACTATCACTTTGAGCATTCAGGAGTTTTCCCGTTTCGTTTTGGAAACTGTCATTGATACTCAGGGGTTGTAACGAGTTTTGGTTATGACATATTCAATGACGGAATAAAGTTTGTGCATGTTCATCTACTCGTTAAATCCAATCTTTGACACCATTCATTTCAGTCGAATATAATGTAAGAGTATCTGGGAGTGAAATACTCAAATAATCCACTATAAGTTAAGGTTCCTCAAGCTTTGTTGAATGTATATAAAAGCTAGTCTTCAGGTAAATTCAGATCACTTTAATGAGGTTAAACGAAGATGCATTGAAACAGGATATACCACTGCATACAAATAGGGCTAATGTATTGATGAAGATAAATGTTAATCCAATTTGTACAAGTGCCAAGCTTTTGATTCAATGGTTTTTAACCAATGAAATCAAGGTTAACGTAGCAGAATAAAGCGTCCGATCGCATAATAACCTTCCTTTAGGACATAATTATTTGATTATGTGCGACTAATTCGCTTCGCTTGCCTGCCAATCTAGTTGATCCGAGGTCTTTCTGCAGTTTTCTTGTTGTTTGCACGAAATCACCAAAATATCTTGAGATGGTAAACAAAGGTCTACTAAATTTGGATAGATCAGGCCAGGCTGGGTTATAAGATGCTCTGTCGCATTGTAGTAAACAACTGCCTGGTTATTTATGTTCGTAAAAAGACAGTTAATCAAATTATTTTTACCTCAGCAATCTTAAACAACCTCCAGACAATTCAGTCACTCTCGGCTCCCGAATTATCTTTAAAGAATGCCCCCAACTTCACTCACGCGTGTCTCACAGCAGACAGATGCCGCCGACGTGATGTGTTTTGGTGGCGAAGCCCATTGAAATATTGAACATGTTTCAAACGTCAGTAGCGCAATCTATTACGACTCTAATACAATGGATCTTTCTTTGAAAGAGGACCGTATGGTCCCATGCAGGGCATTACAGAGTTAATGAAAAGGTTGCAGCATCCGATTTCGCCTTCTTTTATTGTATTTTAATTTCGATTTATAAACACCTCATAATCAGAACAATTTGTGCAAATAACTGTGCTTAAGTCAAGAATGAAGTCACTAAGACTATTAATAACATTACATTATTCTTAAAAGATTTCCTCGGCACCAAAGAACCAATTCGGTACACTTAAAAGTATGCGTACTTCCTAATTATAAAATTTAATTAATGAATTTAATTTTTTTACAATTTAAAAGCTTACGCGGGCAAACACAATTTGGCACCGGTTTACGACTTTCTTGTATTCCGAATTCGCAGCGTGGATAAGCGAAAATTAATCTTCTTTGAAGGCGTAACTTGGAGCGTTTACGACGCGATGAAACCCACGGGAATTTTGGGACCCGGATTCACTCGGGTTCCAGGAGCAAAAGACGATCCTGAAGAGTATCGGCGTAGTGTCTTTTCATACCACTACTACTGTCCACTGATCCAATTCGTTAACACAAGCAAACCATACTCATTCTTCAGACGCACAATGTGCGATAAGGTTAGTAATAAAAGTGAAAGTGACATAATGATGAACTCTAACCTCTTCTTACCTCCGATATTGAGGCAATCAAGAATTTGCGAGATATTCTCGAGATATTTTTTCTACCCTTTTGAGTATTTGAGATTGGTAATCTATAAGTTCTACCTCCAAGTATTTTAATGGCAGGTAAATTATGTGCATGCATAGTGAATGAGAAAGTACGATATTATTTGCTCCCACTGAAAGTAGCTGAGCTCTCACTTCTCCGCCTCGTTACATTCTTCATCGCACACCAAGAAGGTGGGAAAGCAATATAGCAGTGACCAATGGCTACTGCTAACAACAGATGCCGTGGAAAATGGCAAGCATAAGGCTTTATATTAGTCAAGAAAAGCGGCAATTTGAGGTAGAAAAGGAAAGAAGATTGAGTTAAAGGGTGGGAGAGACGCAAGCCAGGAAATTGATAGAGTATAAGTAGGGCGCATGAGAACAGGGCATTAGCGCTATTTATTTAAATGGACTTCCGAGCGATAACACAAGTGAAAATAACTGACAGATAATGACAAATTAATCTCTAATGCCTTTCAATTGGATCTTCTCGAAGTGAGTGGGAGGGCATAATAATTGAGTCGGCGGAATCAAAAATGCGCTAATGGAATAATTTTACATGTAAATGGTCAAATTAACAGTTGTTTCGATAATAATTGAAGAGACAGTAAACCCGATATGGAAACTGGAGGTTTCTAGTAACAGAGGTCTTTCGGGGATATTGGACAAATGGTGTAGCAGCAGAATCGTCAAAGGGGCAGGCACAAAAAACTAAAAGTGAGTGGTGTTAAACATTGAGAAATATTGAAACTAGTTGATAATTTGATGTTTGTTTGTGTTTGACAAGAAAATATTAATGTCTGAAACTTTGAATAGTTCTATGATAGGAATCAAACTGTGCAATCGATAAGCATTTCAAGCCAACATATGTGCGTCGAAGGCGAATTGCCATATCGACACACACTTTGTGGATTGAATGCATAACTACAATCGGTTAAATCTGGATAGCACGGGAAAGTAAAATTTGAGTCGTTCAATAGGGTGGCTCCACTCTCTAACGAAGGTGGGCATTGGGAAAGGCTTTCCCTAATGGACTTGAGAATTAAAACCCTACTCTAAAATTACGTCATAGTGACATGGTATTTGTGTTGATTTGAAATTCCTAATAAATACTTCTGATTATGGTTGACAAATAACTTCACACATCCTTTTCCATGAAAAATGATCTACCGTTTTTCGTTGCTCTTTGTTTGTTCTTAGTTAAATTGACAACGAAGCTGTAAGACTGTTCATTTACTTTCCAGTTTATAATGCCGAAAATGTTTTCTTCGGTTGTAAGCGTAGCGAAAAGGCTAAAAAGTGGCTTATTTTTGACTGAATTCGGCATCTGTGTGCCTGACGGAGATCCCAACTCAATCAACACATTGGAATGCGAGGCTGTAATGGACGGCGCGGATACTCGACTACAGTCCTGGACCTACTGGGATGCTCCCCAATTTTTTGATCAGGATGGTAATCCTAGATATGCTACGGTGAGTAAAGTCAAACCAACAAAGTATTTGTCAATGAAATTTTTCCTCCAAGTGTTGCTTGCTGGTCGCAAAAATGGTGGATGAATTAAGATAATATCAACAAATTTTCAAATTGCCCAACAGTAAATCAATGCAGTTGGCATTAGCAATAGTATTTAGAAATTTTGTGAGTAACCCTTTAATGCAATGCAGGACCATGCGATCCTCTTTCAAAGTAAGCTCCATTGACACTAAAATCGTAACAGATGGGACACTATTGACGCTTGACGTCTGATATCACCAAAACGCATCAGTCATCTGCTGTGAGACACGCGTGTGAGTTTACTTGGGTACATTCTTCAACAAAAACAACTCATTTCTGTGTTAAAGAGTTAGTTTCATGATATTTTGTGATAGCAGTGTTTTAAAGAACTCGTATGTAAAGACTCGAGTCTTCAGGATTTGGAATGTTCTCTAGCTTATCATTAATATAAAGCTTGGAAATTGGGTTGGAACCATAATTTCGATTATTAAATGCTTGACCTATATTTTTGCCGTTAAATGCTATTATTGCCCAAGACTGTGTTAGAGGTACAACTGTTGCCCAATGGTTGCAACATAGTGAAACTTTAGCAATGTTAAAGCATCGAAAATCCTTCTATATTCACTTTCTGAAATCGTCAGTTAATCACATATTTAATTTTTTCATGTTGCGTGGCATATCGAATTGTATAACCAAAACAAAACAGCGGAATTCTAGTTTACCAGTTAAAGATTAAATATTTTTAAATTTCTGACCTCTGAAGATCACTTCACGTGATGGGCTGGGAAGATTGCTTGTTCTGGGGCTTGCGATCAAAAATCCACGAAACTAAAACGTTGTGCTTCCACTCATTTCAATTTCGATGCCTGATTTTTTGAATATGTTTCAGTATATGAGAACTTAGAAACTCGTTAATGGTAGCCCTTTTATTACTTAGCTAAGTGACTTTCCAAACGGTTATAGGGTACGCCTCATTCGTCCGGACTGACTACATGATTGGTCAAATCAAAAGATTATCATTAATAGAAATTATCATCTGATAATACTGAGCACCCTTAAACCTTTGTAAAAGTGGTTATTATAGAATTTTCTCGACGATGTTTGAAAAATTCAAAATTCAATTTAAGAAAACATTTTCCAGCACCCATCCAGGATGGAGAGAGGCATCATGGGGTAGCTGTGGTGAGAGACTTGATTTCTGCCACCCCCTATGTTTCCCGAATCTAATCAGAGAGGTTGATTCTTCTGCCTACGGGATGGGAATCAAACCCTTAGAGACCAAAATGTATACAATAACCAACACGCTGCCACAAAATGAACTTATAAGTCCACACTGAAAGAGGGCTTTAGGAAGTGATAGCTTGACTTATTGTTAAACGTCGTCATTTTGAGCTAACATTTTAAAATCAACGACGCTTTTAACTTCCAGGTGAAATCCTTCTCTCGTGCATATCCAATAGCAACAGCCGGGACACCGATTGACCTTGTTTTCAATGTCAAGAATGGATCTGGTTCATATGCTTTCTCCTCGACAAATTTAACATCGGAATTTGCCAAGAAGGGCGGACCAATAGCAAGTATCTTCCTCCCTATTGAAATTCATTATCCCCGAGGCTACTGCATTGAAATTACCCCGAAATCAATTTCCTACAAAGTGTCAAAAGAGAATGATCATTTAATTGAACTATTTGGTTCGTCCGATGGAATCATTGAAGGAACAATCATTATAGCTAACATACACGCCTTATAAACCCAAGTTTATTATTTACATATATTTAAAATTCGTAGAACTTGAATAAATTGAAAGTCTGTTGCCTTACATAGTTTCGGAGTAAAGTCTACGAGTTGGACAACTGTCTACTATTTCTCAGTTCTGGAGTGTGTGGCCATTAAGGGGACGAATGCGTTGTAACTATGACAACTGGTTAGGCTTGCTTACTCATGGAGCGCGTCTAAAGGGGGTTTTGCATGACATTGAGAGCCTTTAACCACTTTTTTCACAAAACCGTTTTTGTTGTCTGCTGTTTTCAGATTCACTGAACTGTAATGATTGTCCTCTTAACGCCATAAATTCGCAACTCGTCTCGGTTTTCGTATCTCACATTTAATTTTAAGTTTGTTTAAGAGATCTCTAAGTTGGAAATAAAAAACATTAGTCATTATAAAGACTTTTCACAAAATTGTTTAGGGCTCCTGGCGAAGGGGGTAAAGCATTGACATTGGGTAAGAAAATGGACCATTACATAAAGCTAACATATTTTAGACGGCGGAATATAACGTTAATTTCTTCGATACAGTATATTCTTGCTTCCAAATGCCCTTCTCATTCAAGTTTCTTTAATTGCTCATCTTTAGAATTGGTTATTAAAGCTCAATCCTTGAAACAGCCTGGTATCAAAATGACCTTTGCATATTTTAAGTTATGACCTTGATGATTTTCAGCCAGTCAACTTAACTCACTACTGAAAAAGTAAGAGTAGTTTCTGGGGAATATTGAAGACTAACGGGAAACATGACTAGACCACTCACTTTTGAGCAATCTTTTTGAGGAGATTTGGTATGGTTGACACGTCAATTGTAGTAAACGAATGGCATACTATTAAAATACAATATAAAGAAGAAAGAGTCGAGTCAAGTTAAATATCCAGAATTTATATTATTCTGTGTGTACAGAAATGAATAATAAAGAATGAACACAAACTGAATCAGTCAGCTTAGGCAATGAGAGAGGCGATCATTCCGTAGAATTCCTAAATATATTTATCCTTCAAGGGGTGTACGATAGACTTACCTCCAGGTGGTGCACTCTGGGCAATGTATGCTCATACGGCAAAAAAGTTTATTTATCGGTAGTTGACTTCTCACTTCAAACTACCATGACCCATTGTATGTCATATTGGACCACTTCAATAGTACTCACCTCACCTTATTTCTACCTTTTGTGTCTGTCTCTTTTATATCCGTGGATCACTCCCCTGTTCCCCCACTCTTGACTGTTTTTCACTTTGATATTCCTTCCCTATTGTGAAGCCTTAAATCAATTAAAGGGCTAGTTATAACTATCAAAACGACTGTCATTTGATATAAATATATAAACCTGATGATGTGTTCTTATCCAATCCAATGACCTCAATAGATGTGATTGTGTACAGGCCAACTGAGTCATCCTTAAATGATCGAATACTTCCTGCGATGTACATGTTCGCAAAGAAAGCTGCCTTTTAAAAGTGCTGGTATCTTTTTAAAGCCCTCACGCTACCCGAGAAAAGTGAACAACATTAACTCGTATTTATTAATGTCAATTAGCATTCTTAGTTATGCAACTGCATCATATTCCACTTTTAAAGGGAGGTTTCTTCTAATAGTTTGGGGTTTTTCGCAACACAACTACGCTAGGCAAAACAACCGTAAATAGTACTAGTATAGAAGTACTTACATTGGCTTAGGTATCGATAAGGTAGCATACAATTAAAGGGTTACAAAAGTGTAATGAATTAGGGGATTATCCGCACCTCTAACAATCAAGAAGGAAGGTTAAATAGATGCATCTTTTGTAATCCCCGATTTAATAAAAATGTTCTCTCTTCAAAAATTTTAATTCAGACCCTAGTACAACAATTGCGCCAATCCAATAGTAGCAAAAAATCAATATTGAGAGTAAAACGACCAGCACCCGTACATTGTCTAGAGCTAAAGTAGTAATGACGCTGTTTTGAAAGGAGAAATGAAATTCTTACCAACAAGGACAATAATATGTTAGTCAAAACAATGCACATTATCTTAGCTGGCCTACGATAATCGATGAAATTGGCCTAAAGCAATTTTTTTGAAGATAAACATCTACATTTCTCCTTTTCGCTTTTTGAATGATAGCGTCGGCTAAACTAAATATTAGTACCAACTAGCAGGCTTTATGATAGTTTTCATTAGCACTTTAGTTGACTTGGGATTCCACAGAGGAGGAGGAACATCAAAGCCACAAAAAGTCGAGGGGGTGAGCAGTAGAGTGATTGACAGGTGTAAAAGAGACAGGCAGACACTAAGGTATAGATGAAGGTTTGATAAGTGCTGTGAAAGCGGTGAACTATGGCATACAAGTGAAGGGTGATGGTGGTTTAAAGGCAGAAGTCAACTGCCGGTTTATTGACTATTTTGCCGTATGAGTATAAGTTACGCAGAGTAAACCACTTGTTGGTAAGTCTAACGCTCAACCCACTAAAGCATATATTCATTATTTTATATGAATTTCCACATGTAACCTATTAGTATCTAGTATGCAGATAGATTACAGCTGCAGTAAACAATGACTTCATTGAATTACAACCATGTGGAAGTGATTTGCTCTGTTAAGCCAACATTTAAGCACTACCCATTCGTGAAATCACAGATATGAAAGAACATGACTGTCTGATACCCAATCACCATACGATGATATATACGATTCTGGAGGAGAAACTAAAACGCATGTCAAATCCTCCAAATATCAGAAAATTTCGACTTTCTGCTATTCTATGTGAGGGAAGATTTAAAGTTCTTAAAAAACTAGATGCTTTAAGATATTCTAGAATGATTGAGAATTTATTTTAAAGTTACCTCATAGTATGAACCAATCAAATTGGCATAAATGATATTAAAGGTTACAAGATGATTAGGAAGCCCAATCACACCCCGACAGGAAGAGCATATAAATAGCCTATTTCATCACAAGTCTGAGTAACGAAATGGAAGTGAAAAGAATTCTAGTCCTCTCTTTATGCGTAGTTGCTCTGAGCACGTTTGTCCAGACACAACCAGCCGCCGAGACGACTGATCGTAACTTGGCAAAGAAAGTGGAAGAAACAAATAAAATAAGAAATGCGCTGACTCCCGTCGCTAACACCACTGACCTGAATAACACCAAATACTCCACTGACTCCGTTGAGACCACTGATATCGCCAATTATCCATATTATGAAAATTGCGATCAGTACTACGACGATTGCTGCTGTGACTGTTGGAGGGATTATTGTCAAAGATCAACATACTGTGATCCATGCCTTCATTACCAACCGGAAATGCAAATGATCCGCGATTTCATGCAAACCATGCCTTCGATCGGCATCGACTACGTCGACCTTCTCCACGAACAAAGTCCCAAACTTATTAAATTCATCTTCGACAATCACGAGGATGTCAAAAGTCTCATTGCCGCAGCCCATCCTTACACAACAGCTCATTTTATGAAAACTGTCGACAATTTCGGAGTGATTTTGTCAAGATTTGAGGGAAGATACATCGAGACTATCTTTGTCAAAATATCTAACCCATGCCAGTATTTCCTGAGTCTGCCGAAGAAGGTTCGTAGCGTTATAGCTGCAAAGAGTGAGTGGCTTTCTCAATGCCAGCGAAAGCCTAAGTAAACCCTTCAATTACTGTTGCTCCGGTGTTGTTCGTGTGTAGAAAATGCCTGTAGTAGATACCAAATAAATGAATGTTAGCTAACCGACTTGATGATCTGTTTCTTGTCAGGGCTTGTGGTTATTGCACTCAGCAGATCGATACTTAGTTATTTTATTATCGTTCATAAAGGGGCGAAACGGGTTGGGGAGAAAGTTATGTGAACTCGTTCCATTTGGTCCAATGTTACAGTTGTGTATAAAGCTCAATCAACTATTCTTAATTTCATACTTAAACGTAGAACAAAAAATATTATCCTGTTTATGAGGTGTGGAAAGCACTTTGTTATTTGGCGGAGGAGTTTTTGGGGAAAAGAACAGCAAAGAAAGCAAATACTAAGGTGATATTATAATTCAAATTTGAAAATCTGATTTAGGAAAGTGTAAAATAGGGAAGTTGAGAGCTGAATGAACTTGAGCTGTCATTGTCATCTAGTTGTCTCTCAACTCTAGATCACTGGCTAATCCCAATAAATGTTATTTTCTCCGCCTCAATATGAACATTTGGATTATGGGAAATTGATTAATTCAATCAACAGAGGTGCGCTGAATCGTCCCTGCAACATTTGCAATTGTACAACTAATGGATGCTGGAGTCTTGGTGGCAAGAAGCCAGAGAACTGATCTTTCTACCCCCATCTTTCTCTCATCGACACAACTGAAAATGGGACAAAACTTATATTTAAATCTCGACCACAGTTTTTTTAATCTTTCAACGACCTTCAGGACCGTACGGACCTCTTTCAAAATAAGCTCCATTAGTACTAGACTCGTAACAGAAGGTGCTGTCGCCGTTTGAAACATGTTTAATACATCTCTATAGCCTTCGTCTGATACCATGTGAACTCAACACGCTAGCGACATCAGTCTGCTGTGAGACATGCGTGAATGCGGTTGGGTTTATTTATCAAAAATAATTCGAATGTAAAAGGTTTAATACTCCGACGGGACTAGATATTGGGGTGCCGGGGGGGGGGGGTGTTCAACAAATATCAGACCACAAACAGAAAATTTAAATTCGAACCATTTGGTGATGCGAATGCTAAGCAAGCATTATTTTTTTCGCATACGACTAACTTAATAGTTTTCTACTAAATAGGATCTAAATTAAGCGCAATTTGCTAGCAGTAGTTAACTCTCAATGAAAAACTTAGGATTATGGTATATGTGGATTAAAACTTAGCTGCTATAAGCCAAGTTTACAAGCCTCAATGTGCTCGAGCAGGCAATATAGCAATCAATATTGTCCAGACTACACCAGATGGGGTTCGGTGGGAGAAAACGTGTACTGCCTGATGACATTTATCGAAAAATGACAACTGTATTTGAAGCTTATTGGGGGGGGGGGGGGGGGGGGGGGGGGGGGGGGGGGGGGGGG